GTGAAGAATTGGTTAAAGAGTTCTGCTTTCTCCTCTGGCGCAACCACCAGATTGCCCAGCGTACTTTGCAGGGGCCCCACATTACCCGGTGCCTTCTTCATCCTCCCTATATATTTGAAAAAGGACTTTTTATTATCCTTGATCTTGGACGCTAGTCCTAGCTCTATGTCCGCCTTAGCTTTCCTGACAGCCCCCCTACAGGCCCGAGCAGAGGAGGTATACTCCTTTTTGGAGGTATACTCCCACTTTTAACCACCTGACTTCCCCACCCACTCTAGCTACCTGCTGGATGTCTTGTAAATGGCCTTCTGGGGCCCCTGTGCAGGTGCTGCCATCAGCCACAGTGACCACAGGCTCCAGGACACCACCACTGGGACCATCATCACCCTCCTGTCCCACCAGCCCTGCTGCCTCTGGGCCTGCTGTGATAGTCAGGACTGGTGGCTGTATGTCATGCTGCAGGAATGGGACAACAACCAGTGGGTCGACACATTTCAGATGACCCGGGCCACCTTTGAAGACCTGCTGTGCCACCTTCAGCCTCAGCCGGAGCACCAGGACATAGAGATGTGCCCAGCCATCCCCGCCAACATCTGCCTGCCCTGCTGCCCACACCTCCCTACCCCTTGCCCACCCCCTAGCACCACTCCAGGACATGCGCATATTTTCAGTGAAAACCTTTATTCCCCTCACACCCCACACCTGCATTCCCGCCAACCTCCTCCCTCAAGCAACAGAGCCATTCCCCACTCCCTCTGCAAAACTCAGAGCCCCTCCACCACTCTCCCCACCTGCCAACAATAAAAAAAACCCTCTCCCCAAACTGAAAACTATATACAACAGTCTCAGTCTTTGTCTGAGTCCTGGAGTGGGAAGCTGTGGGGTGGGGTGCCTGGGGTGCAGAGCCTAGAAGCAGGTGGCCAGCACCCTAATGGTGGACAGTTTCCCCATGGGTTGGTGGGCTGTGGTGAACACCAGGGGATCCTGTGGCCAGGAGGAGGTGGAGGCCTTCCCCTGAGGCCCAGGTGGGAGCTTTTGTGGGCTGGTGGCCAGGACCCAGGGCCCCTGCGGGGCTGGGGATCAGGTGTGTGGGGGGGTATGGATGTGACCTGTACTGGGCAGGCCTGGCTGGCCAATTGCTGCTGGAGAAGCTCAATATTGTGCTGTCCCGGGGCCTCCAGCTGGGCCCAGTTCTCCTGCTGCACCTGGTCCTGGGCCTCCTTCTGGGTGGTATAATAGGTGATATTTTTCTGCCACCAGCCAGCTCCTGAACCTATTTCTGTGCCTGCTCCTGCATTCCCTGGTTTTCCACCACTGCCACCACCTGCTAGAGCAGGAGGATCCAGTCCCTGGTGTACTTGCACAGCCAGCACAGCTGTGTGTCATTCCCACAGGGTCTTCTGGCCTCTTTCCCATGTCCAGATATTGGCCCTGCAGAGGCAAGAGAGAGAAGCCTTTTGTGTGACTTTGCAACATTTCAGAGATAACATGCTTTGCACCAGAGGTCCTGCGCTGCCCGGCCTCAGATCAGAGGTTGGCCATGCACAGGTGCCCAGGGACCATGGTAAGCTGTCTGGGAAGGGTTGGGCCTAGGTGGCCATCAGTCAACCCCCCGGCCTTGCTTGCTCCCCTGGGGCTGCTGGGCTTCTGGGTGCTGGCCGTAGGCAGCCTGCCTCCCGAACCCCTTCTCAGGGCAGGCCAGGCCATGCCAGGCTGCTAGCAGCAGCTGCTGCTGCAGCACAAGATCCCACACCCCTGCTCTCTCACTTCAGGCCAGCTGCACTCTGCTGCACTGCTGTAGAGCCCATGGTGCCTGAGCTCGGGACATACAGGGCTCCCAGATAACTGGGGCTAGGGGCTGGATGTGCACCCGCCCACCCTCTCCACAGTGGACCTGTCCATGGAGGTGCCATGGGCTGCCTCCCTTTCCCCCCTCAAGATGCTGCTGTTCTCCAAGCATGCCCCTGCTGCATATTGTAGAAACACAGGGCTGGAATGGACCCTGAAGGATCATCATGTCCAGTCCCCTGCATGGGCAGGGAGTGTGGGCAGAGGCCAGAAGAAGGGACTGGAGGCTCAGCTGGTGAGGCTGGAGGCTCAGCATGGGGCTCCCCATCAGTGACAGTGTCTGGCTGCACCTGGTGTCCATAGCTTGCAGTGTGCAGCAAGCAATCACCTAGCCAGGGGCCCTCCAAGGGAGCAGCTGGTGGCCGGTAGTGACATGGCCAGCCACTCCTCATGGCTTGGTTTGGGGCTAGGATGAGGGTGAGGCAGCTGTGGGCAGGGCTCCCTGACCTGCCAGTGGATGCAGCAGCTGGGGAGGTGGGTGGGGTGGGACACTGAAGGCCCGAGGTCTGCCTTCAGTGGTGTCAGGGCGGGGTGCAGGTGAGGGCTGGTGGCACTCACAAGGGTGTGGAGCTGTCCCTAAAATGTGGGACAGCTCCTGCATGAAGGGCATGGTCTTTTGGACACAACCTGACAGATGATTGAACATGGTCATGGCCACCCACTGTGCCCACAAGACCTTGACCTTCATGCAGCATTGCCACACTGACCGAGAGTGGCCTCACACATGCATCCTACCTGATATGGCCTCATAAATGTGGGCATTCGAGTGTCTGCCCCACATGAGCTGCTTCTGGATGTTGGCCCTGCCCCAGAGCACCAGGAGTTGTGCACCTCCTCCCAGGTTCAGGTGGGGGCCCAAGTGTGCAGGATGGGCATGGGCATGTGGGCAGGGCTGGGGCTTGATGAGGACAGTGTGCTGGATGTGCTCCCCTAGCCAGCTCTCTGGGCCCCAGTGTAGCTGTCCCAGACGTGCTGGCCCTGGACAGCTTCCAGCAGCACCCTGGACAGGGGCATGGCCAGGGACAGGGAGTCACACAGCAGAGGTGGTTCACCACAGTGCCTGCAGAGACAGAGCTGGGGTGGAGGAGCAGCAGGGAGCAGGTGCTGGCCCTGCTGCCATAGAGAGCAGAGCAGCATCCCTGGGGGGAATCTCAGGGCTGGGCAAGGGACGCAGTGGGCTGCAGCCCTTTGCAACACTCACCTGGGGCCAAGGAGCAGCTCTGACTAGGGGACAGGACAGGCAAAGGCTGTCCAGGGTGGCACACAGGGTCAGTTTCGCTCCTTCACAGTCCAGAACTCCTGTCCAGGCCTCTGAGCAGTGTACACCAAGGCAGGTATCAAATTTAGGTGCATTTAGCTTAAATTCACCATTTTTAAGGCGCATTAAAGGCACAGACATGTAGATGAATGTCCTTAATGCACCTTAAGTCGGGCTAATGTGCACTAAATGTGCATGTGTAGATGCTCCCTTTAGGTTCACATGGAAGGAATATTACATTCCTGGTTTCTTCTTAATAAATTGTAAACCTGCTGAGATTCCTTCTGTGGTTGATACTGGACATTTAAACTATACCAGCCAGCCTTTTCAGTTTTCAGTAACATTTTCTTTATAACTGTCTGCACTTGTAGACTCCAGGAAAATCATGTTTAGATATTAGAGCACAGATTTCTATCTGTTCCTTTTACCTTGCAAATGACTGCTTGTTCACCTGAACTGATTGGGACCATGTACTTTCCAGAAGAAAAAAAATTTAGTATTTCAGCAGCAACTCATAAATTCTTTGCCTTTAAGGCAGTGAAAAATACTGTATTCATTTGCTACTGTGTTGTGTTTATATATCACGAAAGACCAAACCAGTGTTGCTGTTCAAGATAGCTTAAGATAACAGTCTCATTATCCCCTCTGAATCATGTAAATGCCTATTATTGATGGTGACTTTTGAAGTTTTGAATTATTTTTTTGTAATTTGTGGCTTCTCTGTTTTCTTTAGGGAAAAACTTCAGCATGATACCCACACACCCAGAGCTGCTCTGTGTGCTCTGGGAGGGGGGTTGTGGTGGGCAACAGTATTTATGAATTTGGGTTGAATTTAGTGAGTAACTTTAGCGGAGAAACAGGGGTAAGGAGATTTTTAAAAATGTCAAGACATTTGGTTTCAACACCTGTTTCATGAAACATTTCATTTTGGAAATGAGAAAATATTTTTAAAATATATTTATAGGCAACTTGTAACGCTTGGAATGGCATTTTTTTTCAGTTTTAAATGACCTAAATTGAAAGAGAAAAGATTAAAGAAAGTGGTTATATTACTTAAAAACCAAATTAAACATTTTGATTCAAGTTAAATGAAGTATTTCAGTTCTCAAACTCTCCTACAGTGACACATGGGAGTTGTAGTTTGGGTTGCCTAAAAAGTGCATTTAACTTTATCTTAATTCAGTGCAAAGCTGGTTTTTTACTTGAACCCTGTAATCTGCCAAGAGCTTTCAAACTGGTAAAATATTATCTTTGACCTCATCACAGGCTCAGTAATTACGCTGTGTAGGAAATCAACAGAATGATCCGTTTGGCTTAGGTTTCCTTTTTTTTTACCTTTTACAGTTTGAGCTGCTTGAAATCAGGTTAAATCTCTATCTAATCAATAAATAAATTCCTCTTCACATTCCAAAATAAAAAAAGCAAGGAAACACAATAGGAAAGTTTCCTCATTTGCTTTTATTACTTTTTGTGAGGAGGAAAAAATTGGAATATAAACAACCTTTCCTGGAAATTAAAGCTCTCTTTTCAATAGGTGGTTAAATGAAACAATGTCAAGTTGAAGATGATATTCCTTTAATTTCTTTTCCTTTTTCCTTTTCAGAAAGGGGCTGTTTGCTGGTATAAAACTGAAGAAGAAAAAGAAAGGCGAGAAAGGGTTAACTATAGCAAACAAGGGTGCACTGGGTAAGGCCTACTAAATCAATATTAAAGCTTATTTGAATAGATGACAAGGGTGTGATCATTTTTCCCTACCCTCAGTGTGAAATCATTTGAATTGTTCCTTGAACTAATTGGTTTAGTAATTGAAAATATGAGCAGTAAATTCCTTTTAGTCCTATTAACTATGAACTCTGACAGGGTTATTGAAAGCCACTCAGAGACCCTGTGAGTTCAGAATAATGTATCTGAGTTGTGCTTAATGTTATAGAAACAGACCAGTTCTTTCTTTAAAAAGACAATGGATGTGGGAATGCCTTATCTCTTCCAGATGCACATAAAGGAGGGTCCAGGCAATTTTGAATTCTAGACAGGCCTGTGATTCCCGCCAGAAGTTCAGGTGCTGCTGGAAACCACGGGAACAAAGACGAAAGTGTGAAACCACTTTTTGTGGTTTCTGGAAGTCTCCAATAGAGTTCAGTAGCTCTAAATATGTGTGCGGTTTTAACTTTATCTAACACAGGGATTGCACATCCGTGACCCACATTGCTTCTTATTCTCCTCCTTCTCTTGCACCTCTTTTCCAAACTTACCTTTACATTTTCCTAGGTGCCTTTCTACAATGCTTCTGTTTCCTATTCCAATAGCTCTTTTACATCTTTCCCACAACGGGCATCTCAGGCAGGATGAACAAATTGAATCTCATAAATCCTAGCTGTGATATCATGCCTTGAAGTCCCTTGGGTCTGTTTGAACATGGGCCATTATCTGCTGTGTGCAATCCATGAACTATAATGTTGTACTGAGCTAAATGAAATATATATGTGCTGCAGCCCACTATTAGACAGAAACGGAAGTAGTTAACCATATGTCAAGATGTTATATTGCTAGTAGGTGTGATATCAAAGGAGGTTCACTTAGTAGGATGCAATCTTTTTTTATCAGCGACTGCTATGAGGTTCCACATAACCATGGTTATGCTTCACAGAAATACCTATCATGTTCCAAATTGCTTGCATATTTTATAGTGCATTATATTGTTGCCAATAGTGAAGTCTGCTGCACTTTTCCACGTAACTACCTGTGTCTTGGCAACTATTTAATAGATTCTCTTGTGTGAATGATTTCTGCGACATAGCTGTCATTATTCTTCATCGTCACACTCTTTATTAATGTCTTGCCTACTAAACACCTGGACTACAAGAGATACGTAAATCTCTTGCTTGAGAATTTTGTCTCCTACTGGAGCTCACAAGATCTAGCATGGAAAGAGTAAACAGAAGAAGTATGTTCCATTCTGTACAATTTTCATTTTCTGTTATGGAGTTCTCACTGGGTGATAGCTCTTCTTGATTAGTAAAAAGCAAAGAGTCCAGAGCAACTGGGGGAAAAGGTACCAAAAATATCTACTCAGATGATAGAAATTTGTGATTTTAATGAAAAAGCATTACAAAAATATTGTATGGATAAATTGAAACATGGAAGAATGCTTCAGATACAATTTATGCTGCTGAAGCTGCAGCCTTTAGCTTCAGTCAGAATTATTCTAGGGTTTGTGAAGTAGAAGTGACCCTACCCATGTGCTTGTTGACACTGGATTTATGACACAGATACCTTGTTCTGGGTGGACCCAAACCCTCAGACCCAATCACAACCTCTCCATTTGATAACAGGCAAATTTTATTGATACACAGTGATAGCACAGAAGAATAATGCAAACAATTCTATATCTACCAGTCCTAGAGCTGTTACAGAGGTAATGCATGTCTGGCCAGTATGTGAGTTTCACCCTGAGGTTCTGTCTTGAGTATCGGATGTCAGCAGCCTGGAGGTAAAAGCCCAAGGCCCACCCCTCTCAGTGGAGTGGGTAAGACAGGCTGGTGGTGTGCTCTCTGTCCATGGTGGCCTAATGTTCACCTCTTGGGGACCCTTTGCTGCTCTGAAATCCCCACCTTTGTATTCTTTCTCCTCTCTGATGACTCTTCAACTCTTGCACTGTTGATTGGTTTCCCTGTGGTTGTCATACTGTCCATGTTCTGTCCCGTCAGTGTATTCCCGTTTCACAAACCCATCACATGCACACATCCTAATTTGGTTATTTACTGGTTTCTCCTAATTTGGTGCATCTACCAAAAAAAGAAATCCCAAGGACTCTGGAGTGGGTACTGTGACCTGGTGCCAATGCTGCAGAGTCCCTTATCTCTATTTGGGTACACTGTTCATGTCTTCAATTTCCTAACCTGTGTGTCTTCGTTCTTCAGACTAAGTGGGCCTTCAAGGAATCTTTGTCACAAACAGGCATTTAGAAATCAATTAACCCTTGCCATTCCCTCTGGACCATTGTTCTAATGCAATATCTACTTTACCTACAAGCCAATTCTGAAAAGCAAGTTTCTAAACACCATTTTTTAGCCATCAGTGCTTATTTATTGAGTCTTGTTTAGCTTGCATCAGCACAGTCTCAGAGTGCCTTATCAGGCTTTACTGACTGGAGCTCCACCACTTTCCTGTGAGGCAGAGAAGTGTTATCCCATATAGAGAGAGGGTATAGAAACCCAGAAAGTTTAAAGCAGGTATTATTAAAAGCGGATGTCAAATGTTCAGTGCCTGTTTTGGGACACCTTTCAAATATGATTGAATATATCTATATAAAAATCCTATGAAGTCATTAAAAAATTCAACTTTCCCCGATAAGGAACTGACCCTTTCATACCATCAATACTTTCTCGCAAAAGCTCTTCAGTGGGACACCAAAAGCAAGGAATTTGGGTTCTGGGCACAGTGAGTCTCAGGGCTGATGTCAAATGATGCACTGCCAGGTCTTTTTAGTTTGTATTGGCGAGTTGTTAGCATAAAGGCTCCAGTTGATTGAAACTGCAAAGGAGGCAGGAGAAAAGTGGTTTCTAAGTTAGTTAGGGCCCAGATCATTAGAGTCTGAACTGGAAGTCACTCCAGACTATGGAGCATTGATAAGATATATTTTATACTGGAAACCTTACTCTAATCACTATTACGTTTCATACATGAAGAGCTTAGACATTCATTCCCTGTCAGCTTTCTGAATTATTTTGTTAATCAGGTAACCATGACGAAAGTGATGGTCTTCGCCATGAGGAGCCGCATGGACAAGAAGGAGATGGAGATTTGATGCATGATGCTGCATCTTCTTGTGGCTTTGCACCCTCAGCTCCTCTGACTAAAAGGTACAGGATAACATTTCCAAAGATTGCTCCAAAGATTCCACATCATGTCTTGGAGATGGCATTGCTGTTGGCCACCTGCTCCATGACACAAATTCTATCTCCTGACAGCACTGACCTCCCAACTACTGTACTTCTACCTAGTAGAGCAAGATGTTTTTGTAAGAAAAAATATAACAAGCTCAGATTTTCAGAATAGGCAAGTCAGTGCAGAGAAAGATTGAGGGAGAGCAAGACTAGGTTTAGGCAACTAATGAAACTGAGTTAGGGAGAACAGGATTGTCCAGAGATGCTGATCATAGGAGGAAAAAACTGAGTCCATTTCCCACTGTAGTTAACAGAAATTCTCTCCCTGGCATCAGTGAGACATGGATCCTATACCTAATGTCCAACTATGCAAAATATGTGAGCAAAGTTATTTCACATATATCATATTTGACTGAGGGAGTATTGTATATAGTTAGAAGTGTAATGGCTTGTGAATGAAGAAGGTTAAAGTTAAATAATTAGAACTGACCTTTCCATCTCAAAAGTCCATGGAAAAATTAACTGGATGAAAAGTAGACTGACATCTTCAGTGCCCCCCATCAAAAGAGAAAGCGCTTTTGCTCTAAAATGAGATTTAGTATTAGTATTGCTGTCACCATGAAATGTGCCAGTAATTACATTAAAGTGATTGCCAGTGATATAAAACAAAAAAGCAGATCTCAAAAAGAGCCACTGAACAAGTAATTTCAAGGGAAAAAAATCTCTTGAACATGTTAAAAAACTAAGATTTCCATGTTCTTGAAGGCAATGCGTAATATTCTGTTCCATTTCTTGAACAGAGCAAAACTGGAACACAAAGTTCATGAAGGGGAGGCAAAGCATCAGAATTACCAGGTGAGTCCAAAGTAATGCCCACATTTTTAACCCCCCATTTCTGAATCCAAGACTGACTTGCAGTGTATATGTTGTGTTTGTGCTCTTTAGATTGCTATAACCATCATTGAGGCCCGGCAACTGGTTGGTGAAAATATCGACCCAGTGGTGATCATAGAGATTGGGGATGAAAAGAAGCAAACGACAGTCAAAGAAGGCACAAATGCCCCATTTTACAATGAAGTATGTCCTTTTACCTTGAGCTATTTGCAATAGTGGCAAAGTGGTGATTGCTTATATTAGACTGACAGGAGATAAGCTAGGGCAGCTGAATCTTCTCCAATGAGTGAAGTCTTTTAGAAAGCCCTCCTCCGTCCTGCATCTCTCAACCTCTCTTTTTTCATGTTCCTTCCATTCTAGTCTGTGAAAGATACTAATCTCCATGTCCTATTCATAGTTTACCTTCCCATGTCTAACATTTTAAAAAAGAAGCTCAGTGAATTCTTTCTAAACTAGCGTCCAATCCATATCATCCACCCTGCATCTAAAATCGCTCCTTATACTCACTTTTGCAAGCACCATAAGTCTAACAAAAATGGTTCTTAAAACACATCAGTCCTTTAGATTTCCTAGTGTAACCTCTCCTTTCTTGCTCCACCGTTTATATTTAGAGCTCTTAAATTTAACATATATTTTAAAACAGCTAGTCAGAGGGACATGAGGAAGTATCATAGAGTTGCCCCTGTCATCAAACAGCAATCCAGATAGTGTGTGTTGATGACAACATAATTGCAATACTGATCTGTAATTTTGTTTTTCTACAGTATTTTGTGTTTGACTTTGTTGGACCTCAAGTGCATTTGTTTGACAAAATCATCAACATTTCTGTAAGTATGATGGGAAGTTTTAACAATATTTTATTAAAGGAAGATCATGTACTTTGGTCCATGGCCAAAGAGATTCCTCTCAGAGACATTATTAAAATGAACATCAATTTTGTTTCAAGTGCCAGTGATATTATAAGGTAAAATAATATTTTTTTACCAGAGAGTCCAGAGAAGAGCCACGCGCATGATCAGAGGTCAGGAAAACAGACCTTACGTCGACAGGCTGAGAGCCATGGGGCTCTTTAGTCTGGAAAAGCACAGGCTCAGGGGTGATCTGATGGCCACCTATAAGTTTATCGGGGTGACCACCAGGATCTGGGGGAACGTTTGTTCACCAGAGCGCCCCAAGGGATGATGAGGTCGAACGGTTATAAACTCCAGCAAGACCGTTTCAGGCTGGACATAAGGAAGAATTTCTTTACTGTCTGAGCCCCCAATGTCTGGAATAGCCTGCCATCGGAGGTGGTTCAAGCACCTACTTTTCAAAAGAAATTTGGATATTTATCTTGCTGGGATCCTATGACCCCAGCTGACTTCCTGCCCTTTGGGCGGGGGCTGGACTCGATGATCTTCCAAGGTCCCTTCCAGCCCTAATGTCTTTGAAATCTATGAAATATATGAAAATACTGTATTGAGGTGAAGCAGAGAAAAAGAAAACTGGCAACTGGTAATGGCATGAAGAGACTTTGAAACAACCCATGAGGAAGACGTAGTGTGAATTTTCTTGGATGGCTTCTTGAAAGTTGATGGTAAAAAGTATGTCACTTTGAGTTGAGATTTGAAGATGGCATCAAACTAATACTTTGTTCATTTGTTGAAGATTAATTTTACCTTCTAATTAGCAGAGCCATCTATTTTCTTTAGCTTTTAATTTTTCAACCTTCATGCCATGCTGACTCAGTTCACTCAGTTAAAACTTCTGGTTTATCTCAGTTTCTCAGATGCAAAAACCAAGCTTTTGTTTGAAATGTTCAGCCTTCTTATGCTTCAGCAATCCCAGTGCTAAGACCACCTTGAGTCTCAAGTATTGATTCTTATTCAGGAGGAAATGAAACGGCAGTGTAAGTCTGCTCAGCACTCTGCCGCTGGTAACTTCTCAAAGAATATGCAACACCTCAGAACAGCCTTGTTTGAAATACTGAAATGAACTAACTTCAGAAAGTAGATACATGTGATTGTTTTGTCAAATGTAGTTTCATGCAGTTGGAAAAGCTGTATAGGTCTAAAGGAATTGCTCCTCTCTGGCAGCAATGGATTCCTAAGTGGTAGATTACTGTATTATCTCACATACCACACACCCCAGAATAAGATATACACCTTGTTTTGGGAAGGCAGAAAGAAGAAAAAAGAGTTTTCCCAGAGTTCTGGCTGAATTCTAACTGCAGGGGATCCTGACTGCATGGTTGAATCCAGCTGGCTCTGCTCAGGCAAAAGCTAACGTGTTAACCATCTCGCAGACACTGGCAAATTGGCAGTACCTGTTGGCTGCTCAGTGACAAGCTACTGCTAATTCTGCAGCAGTTGTGAAAGGGTTAACACTGAAGCTGTGGCCCAGGAGGGTGAACTCCACCCCCTCCACCCTTGTGGCTGGCAGTGGGAGAAGTACAGAAGCCATTTTACAGCGTTTCCATGCTTCCATTCCTCCATTCCAGTGTCAAAAACTGGCTTCCTCATTAAAGACAAACAACCCAGTTCTGGAGGGATGATTTTTGGGGAAAATGTGTGTTTGCAATGTGGTATGTAAGTACATATGTTACAAGCATGAAGAAGCACTTTAAAATGTTGTAGAGAATGTCTCAGTTTCCAATTAGTGCTGCTGTAGCCATGAGGGTTCAAGAAATGTGCCAAAAACAAGATTTGTTTGATGGTATTTTTTATTGGATCAGCTATGTAGGAGAGATGAGAGACAAGCTTTAAGGCATAAAGCGCTATCTCCGATCTCGGACAGAAGCATTTACTGCTGCAGTTAAATGCCAGGTAACCTTTGGTGCCAAAATTACTTTTGTGAAATTTGATCCTGTAAATGAGAATAGTCACTTAAAAAAGGGCCCGGGGAGGGGAAGGCAGTAAATCCATGAAGCAATGAGGACCATTTGAAATAGATAACCTGTGTCAAAGAATAAGATTAACTGGAAGGGAAGACAGGCACTGTGACATTTCTTATGACAGTGGCATATTTCAAATGAATAATAACTGTAGATCTCACTCCCACTCTCTTCACAAGAAAGCTCCATCCTCAGGTGTTTCACATAAATAGGTGCAATGATGCTTAGAAAATACACCTAGTACCCATTGATGCCAAAAATATGTGTGTGTTTAAATTGGTTTTGGAGTTTGGGAAACACAGAAATTGGGTTAGGATTAAATCCTCCGGTTTCTATGGAGCTACATTGGCTTGTGTCACTCAAAGTGGCAGATGTTTATCCAAAACTTATATCATAGGTTCATAGGAAAGTATGGCTGAAAGGGACCTCATAAGGTCATCTCACAAGGTCATCCTGGCTCAAGGCAGGATCATCCCTCACTAAACCATTGCAGACAAGTGTCTGTCGAGCCTACTTTTGAAAGTTCTGAGCATGGATTCAACAACTAATATAGGTAGCTTGTTCCAATGTCTGAACACTCTCATAGCCAAAAGGTTCCTCAGAAACTCCAGCCTAAATTTTCCCTGCTGCAGTTTTAGGCCATTGCTCCTAGTCATGTCCCCTACAGCAACAGGGAAAAGCCCATCTCTGTTCTTTCTATAATTACCCTTCAAGGTATTTAAAGACTGCTATCAAATCCCCCCTTAATCTTCTCTTCTGCAGGCTAAATAATGCTAGTTCTTGGAGGCAAGACTTTCCTCATAAGTCTTGCCTCCAAGGCTGCATGCTTTCTTAATTTGTTCCTTGCATGCCTGGACAATACTCTTATGCTCTTCCCTAGGACTATGACCAAGTTCCCACTTTTTATAGGATTCCTTTTAAGTTTCAGCTCCTTGAAGTTATCGGTGTCTAGCCAGGCTGATCTCCTATTACATATCCTATTCTTCTGCCTCATGGGGATAGTTTGTTCCTGCACCCTTAAAAGAGTACAGCCAGCTCTCCTGGACTCTTATCCCAAGAGATACTGTTTACCAGGTCCCTGAGTTTAAGTTTGATTTTCTGAAGTCTGGTGCCCTTATTCTGGTGTTCTCCTTCCTTCCACCCCTTAGGACCTTGAACCCTATCATTTTGCGGTCATCATCACCCAAGTTACCTTCTATCTGGACATTCTCAACCAATTCCTCCCTGTTTGTGAGCAGTAAGTTGAGAAGTGTTTCCCCCTTTGTTAGCCTCTCTTATCTGAATTAACATGTTATCCCCAGCACACTCCAGGAACTTGCTGGACTGCTTTTGCACTGCTGTGTTTCTCTCCCAACAGATGCCACAATAATTAAAGTCCCCCCGTTGACCAAGTCCTGTGAGTTGGAAGCTTCCATCTCTTGTATGAAGAAGGCATCAAACCTACTCTTGGTTTGGAGGCCTGCAGGAGACACCTACCATTACATCCCTCCTGCTGCTTCCCCTGACCTTTACTCAGAGGTTTCAATATGCCTAGTTTCCATTTCATATTGCACCTCTGAACATGTGTATATCACCTTTATATATAGGGCAGCACCTCCTCCTTTTCCCCCCGCCTATCTTTCCTGAACAAGCTGTGCCTATCTACTGCTGTACTCCAGTCATATGAACTATCCCACTGTACCTCTATAATCCCAGTTACATGATAGCTCTGTGATTGTATTAGGACCTCCAATTCTTCCAGTTTGTTTGTTCTCCACACTTCTCACATTAGCGTATAAACATTTTAAGTATATGACAGTCCTGTCATTGCCCTGAGAACATTGCTAAGGTTTCCATTATTGTTTTCCTTTACTAAGTTTTTATCCTGGTCTCCAGGCTTTTTACTTACCTCTGGGCATTTGTCTCCATCCCCCAGTGAATCTAGGTTAACTTTCCACTCTTTGTCAGGTGGACCCTGCTTCTTCCCAGCAGTCCATCTTCCTGGAAAACCACCGCATGGTCAAAGTAGTCCAAGCCCTGCTGGTAACACCATCTATGCATGCCCCATTTTTCTGTTATATAGAGTGAGGTTACATATGACACTTAGACCATATTAAGGGTACTTAAAACATGAGCATCCACATATCAAAGCTTGTTAACCCATGCTAAGTGTCCTCCGAGTACCTCAAAGTTATGCAAGGTTTAAATCCGGGCCATGATCATGTTAGGTAATCTTGGTCTGTTCCACCAAGATAAAATTTGCAGTCCTTTCTAGGACAAGGGTGGACAGTTATTTTACATGGAGGGCCACTTAATGAGGTTTGGTGAGCTTTTGAGGGCCGCGTGGGTAGCCCCACCCCTTGATTGTTGCCCTGCCCCCTGGCTGCCATCTTGGGACCGGAAGTTTCAATACGGACAAGTGCAGGGTGCTGCACTTGGGCAGTAGGAACCAGCAGCACACTTACACAATGGGGAACTCCCTACTCGAGAGCACGGAGGCAGAAAGAGATCTTGGAGTCATTATTGACTCCAAGATGAACATGGGCCGACAATGCGAGGTCATGGTTGGCAGGGCTAACCGGACCTTGTCGTGCATCCACAGGTGCATCTCGAGTAGAGCCAAGGAGGTGATCCTCCCCCTCTACGCGACGCTGGTCAGGCCACAGCTGGAGTATTGTGTCCAGTTCTGTGCGCCCCATTTCAAGAGGGATGTGGACAACATGGAGAGGGTCCAGAGGAGGGCCACCCGCATGATCCGGGGACAACAGGGCAGACCCTACAGTGAGAGACTGCGGGACCTGAACCTATTCAGCCTCCACAAGAGAAGGCTGAGGGGGGACCTGGTGACCGTCTATAGACTCACTAGGGGGGACCAGAAGGGTTTGGGGGAGACGCTGTTTCCCCTAGCGCCCGCTGGCATAACAAGGAGTAATGGGCACAAGTTGATGGAGAGGAGGTATAGATTGGACATCCGCAAAAACTACTTCACAGTTAGGGTGGCTAGGAGCTGGAACCAACTTCCAAGGGAAGTGGTGCTGGCCCCTACCCTGGGGGTCTTTAAGAAGAGGCTGGATGCCTACCTGGCTGGACTCATTTGAGGCCTGTTTCTTGTTTTGGGGTTTTTGTTGTTCTCCCGCCCTGGCGGGGGGTTGGGCTAGATGATCTACTAGGTCCCTTCCGACCCTTAATCTATGAAACTATGAAACTATGAAGTCTCACCCATAATCCCTGATGTTTGCCACTGGAAATGCTTCCCCTTGCCTCCCGGAAATACTCCTTTTGGGGGGGGGGGTGCCATCTTAGAACCAGAAAAAAACAAATCATACAATAGAAGTCAAACACCTACTACAACATATTTTAATTTTATTACAAAAAATATTTTTGTCATGATTTGCGTTTGCATACCATATATAGAAGTGATTGCATAATAACTCAAAAATAAATTCTTAGTCTTGTATATTGTGTGGGGTTCTGTGATTGGGGTGTGTGTGGGGTTGTGTGTGTGCATATGTGTATACTGGCACGTGGGTGTGTGTGTATGCTGGGGTGTGTATGTGGGGGCAATTTGTGAGGGGGTGTGGCTGCATGTGGGGGGCAATAGAATATGTTGGGGGGTTGTGTATATGTGGGGGATTGTGGAGGCAGTGTGTGGGTATGTGGCAATTGTGGGGTGTGAGGGAAAGTGGGGACCCCCTGCACTCCCCCCCCATGGCACAGCAGCAGTAGGCAGGGGTGCATGAGGGCTCATGGCCAGCACAGGCACTGGTGGCCAGTGGTGTGCAGCTCCGGCCAGCTCTGCACATCTAAGTGTGCAAGGGTACAGCCCCTGCTGGGTCATTTCTACCACCAGCACTTCCCACTGCGCATGCGCAGCTCCCACACTTGCGCACCATGCTGGAGCCAGCTCTCTGCCACCGCTTCCTGCTGCTTAGGCCCCAGGAGCCTGTGGGGAAGCAGGGGCCAGGACTCCCCTCCACTTCCAGTGGAGCTCCAGGACCTGTGCAGCAACTAATGTAACTGAATTTGTACTGGTGTAAATATGTATGTTTGGCCAGAGCTTATTTAATTGCTCCAATCTATGCAGTTTTAACTTAAGAACTTCTTACTTATTGGAGGTTGTAATTTAGTTTACATGCCCTGCAATATAAAACGAAGCTACACAGTTCCACTGTTTTTTCAATTTCTAAATAGATGTATCTAAAGTGACATCAAGAATGTTTGTAGGCTGTCTCAAAAGTGGCTAGGTCTGTCTGGGGCTAGTTATGACCCCCAGTGGTTGCTTTTTTTACCTGCGTCCTTGGGAAAGGTGTAAGGACAAATGATCTTACCCTGTAACATACATTTCTTCAATAGGTTATGCACAACAAGCTGATTGGGAGCTTGCTAATTGGTTCCTTTAAGGTGGACCTGGGGACAGTGTATAACCAGCCAGGTAGGCGATGTGTTGTTTTCTTTCACTTTTGTTAAATCCGTGGTTTTCTCAGTTGTTTGTTTCATCCAATTCCTGGACTGTCTTTCTCTAGGACCATCACATAGTAATGAAGGTGGTCAAATTTTGGACGAGGCTACCTAGAGAAGTTGTGGAATTTCCATTCTTGGAAATTTTCAAGAGCAGGTTAGACAGACACTGGACTGGGATGGTTTAGTTGGGCAAGATCCTGCCTTGAGCAGGGGGCTGGACTAGATGACCTCATGAGATCCTTTTCAATGCTACTTTCCTATGATCCTAACAGGTGAAGGGCCAAGTTTTCAGAAGAATTCTTGTCTTATCTAGGCTCCAGAGTAGTACCTTGGTGGGGGTTTTTTTGTTTTTTGTTTGTCTGGGTTTTCTTTGGGGAAGGGCAGGGGGGAAGAGCATTTCATATCACAAATCTTTTGAAAATCTGACCCATAAGTGCTATTGTGAAAGCTACAGAATACTAGGCCCACGGGTACATCTGGCCCTTATTTCAATTACTCAAGGGAGGAGTTCTTTGGAAATCTGGTCCCATTTGTGGGTGCTGAGCCCTGGGTGCCCCCAGGAGAGAATGAGGGAAATAGAGAGGAGTCTGGGAGAGAGGCAGAGAGAGACTGAAAAGCAGGAGAAGGGGGAAACAGGAAAGAAAGACCGAAGGAAGAGACAAAGAGAGAACAAAGAGAGAATCAGCACCTCTAAATCTGTTCAGTGCTTCTTGAAGTTAGAAACTAAAACAACCAACCCTGGAAAAAATGTTCATAGCACCTATATATTTCTGACCAGAAAACATTTATCTGTCTGAGCTCCTCTCAGTCTGTAGAAAGATTGTAAGCGCCTACATCCAAGTGATTTCACTGGCAGTTAGGGGCCTAAAAACCTTTATGGCTCTGGCTTTAAATATCTTTACCTGTGACTTCTGCCACAGACTTCCTGTAGCAAAGTCACATAGGAAGTCTGGCAGAATGGCAGTGCAGCAAAGTCTCTTCAATGGCAGGCTAACCACTGTAGCCACTGAACCATCTGGCCCAGTTCACCTGGGAAGGGAATTGCTGAGGCCATTTTGTAAAGCTATAGATAAAACATTGGTATTGTGAAGTTGTAAGAAAACAGAGGAATATGTGTAAATGAGAGAGACAAATGGAAGAGACGGATGGCCCAAGGACTGCAATTCCTTTGTTTCACTCTCAGATGCATGCACAGACAGACATACCATCATCCCTTTACTGGACTATGGTATAAAAACACTCTATAGAATTGCCTCAGGGGCTTCCCTCTATCACATATTCCTTTGACATAGTTAAACAAGAAGGGGTGATGACTGTCTGTGCCAATCAGGAAAACCTGGCTACAACCCTACTGAAAGAAGCCATGTTTAAACAGGACACCAGGTCTGGTTTGGAGAGGGCCATAACAACTCCTGCATCTGGCACTGAAAGTCTCTGGTAGATTTACCTTTCAGCCTCTTCTCTGGATGCTTTCCACTTCTTCACCTGTTCACCCCTTTGCTTCTGAATCAACTGCAGTGCTTGTGTCTTGTTTTCAGTTCCCAGCTAGGATTTGGCTGTTGGCAACACTAAGCTCTAATCCAGGGGCGGGCAGTTATTTTGGCTGGATAGCCACTTAGTGAGTTTTGGTGTCCTCTCAAGGGCTAAATCTCTCTCTTTCTCTCTCTCCTTCCCTGGAGCTGTAGCATGCCCCGATCCCCAGTCTCTCTTTCTCGCTCCATCCCTTCCCCCCAACTCCTCACCCAGAGCTGTAGCAAGCCCCAATCCTCTCTTACCCTCCCTGGAGCTGCAGCATGCTCAGATCCCCCACCTCTCTCTCTTCCCTCAACCCCCACATCCTTGACCTAGAACCTATCAGCCCTGTCTGCAGCTTAGACCACCACCCACCTGGTGCAGAGCATGCAGCCGCCAGCATCAGCTGTGGACGCAGTCGGCAGGTTCCCGGGTGGAGATTGGAGCATCCATCCAGGTCAGCAGCTGATGCTGCCACATCAGCACTGGACAGAAGCCGTCCTGCCCACACACCTGGCACAGTGGAAACAGTTTTAACCCCCAACTCAGCACCATGTGCTGCCCACAGGTGGGATCTCATGAGTTGGCAGCTGCCCACCTGCAGGCCAGATATAATCAGTTGGTGAGCTGGATCTGGCCCATGGGCTGTATTTTGCCTACCCATGCCCTAATCATTCTTCAAACTGCTCTCATTGAATAAAGCTGCCTTCCCTAGTTTTTTCCTTGGACAGGCTTAAATTTCAGCCAGTTCCCACTGAGCATTTCTGACTGCTCCTCTGAGCCCCTGATGAAAATGGGTTTCTGCTCAGATTTCTCTCCCTTCATCATGTAGACATACTATAGATGTGCACAGCCCCCATTGCTAGTTATACAGGCTGAACACAACGTTGGCTTATCGATATCATCTTTCTGTTTTACAGGAACCTTGCCTTCCAGTCACCCTATACCATTGTTATCACATGTAAATATACTTCTCAATCAAGTGTTTCCAGTGTTATTCTCATGAAAGGGCAAACCCTGTCAGCAGTGTTCTCATGATTAATGGTTAAGCTTCTCTCCAAGTATTTTTGTAGGCTGCATCTCTAAGAACTGAGCCTCCAAAGCTTTCCTGCATGATGATTCAGCTCATGTATTTTGCAGGTCATCAGTTTTGTGATAAGTGGGCCCTTCTCACAGACCCTGCTGACATTAGAACAGGAGCCAAGGGATACCTGAAGTGTGATATCAGTGTTGCTGGAAAAGGAGACACGTTACAAGCCACACAGAAAATAAGCGATGCTGAAGAGCAGATTGAAAAGTATTGGAACAATCCTTTTACTTTGCTTCTACCACCAAAGTGCCCCAGACAATCCACCTAATGTCTCATGCTCCTTGTTTGATAGCATTCATGCCTTGCCTTTCTGATCTGGGATTAGCAGATGCCTGTGGGTGTTTAGCTGTTTGATTTGCTGGAGGGGAGTTCTTTATTCCACTACCAAATGAAAGAGAGTGGTAGAGTCAGCTTCCTGCTTCTGATGGAGTTTACTCTTCTCAGACCCTACTAAGTGCTAAATCTTCCCTGTCAGAAATGCCTTTACCCAGGGGCTATTTGAAGTATTTCTGATGAGGAACCGTTTTGCTTGCAGAACGTGCAAAACTGTAGTAGAGTTCAGGAGTCTGAAGTTAAAAAAAAAAAAAAAAAAGGTTTAGAGGCAGGATACTCCTTAGCTTCCTATCATATGTATGTGCATGTGAATATATTCATACATACATATACAGCAAAGATGCTATTGCAAGTTACTTAAGTTGAACAGGGCACTGCATTATCTATACAGTAATTCTATTGTTTAGGAGCAGTTTTAATATTTCTAAGCAGGAGCACTTTGTAGACATCTATTTGTCAAGCAGTAACTGGAAACCTTTTTAAGGTGGAGAAACAAATGCACATCCCAAATTCCCAATTCCTTCCCACTTTTCTTCTCTGGTACAAGGTATTTGCCAGGCTAAACTGGAAAATATTTTAACCACTTGTAGAATGCATTTTTGGAATAATTTAATCTTGCCCAGCTGAATTCACAGTCTTAGGGAAATGACTTTCTTTTTTTCTTGTAGGAACCTCTTGATTCCCAAAGGATTTCCATCTGAAAGAGCTTGGGCTAGATTTTATGTGAGAATCTATAAAGCAGAGGGCCTCCCAAAGATGAACTCCAGCATCATGGCCAACGTTACCAAAGCGTTCATAGGCGACAGTAAGGACCTTGTGGATCCATACGTGGTGGTCATGTTTGCAGGTCAAATGGTAAATGGGATCATATTGATCACAAGAGTTGGGCCTTCTTCTCTCTCCACTGAGTAACCTTCAGGATTTAAGGCTGATGCACTTTTATTCAATGTTTTGCCGTCAACAAGAATTCCTCAGTCCCCAAATTGCTGTGAAAATCAGGGACTGATTACCAGTGGTATACTAGTAGATTCAGCCTCAGCTAGACCTACAGAAAATAAAATCCTTTAGTGTTCTGTAACAGGGGGCCTACCGGGGCTGATCTCCATGTGACCTGCCCACCTGTTCTTAGGCAAACCGCCCTCCTTCTCGCCTGCCATGCCTTGGTCTTAATTGATTAATTAATAAATGTAATTAGGCAGGAGGCTGCCCATTTACTGCCCTGCTACTAGGGGGTGCTATCTGCAGCTCCATTCCTCCCCTACACTGCAGCCCAAGCCTCGCTGATGACATCATGATGTTCTCGTATGTACTAGTCCCCCACGATGGGGCCCCGAATCCTACTGTAGAACCCCACCTGGGTTCCTCCCTTCAGGCAGACTCTGCTGCCATCATACCAGGCCATATATCGCCCTGCCATTGGCTCCCCTTTGGGTGTGGTCCCCTCACTGGGACCTTTGGCTCACTCTAGCCCTGGCCCACCTCCAGGCCAGTCGTGACCCCAGGCCCCTAGTTCTTGGGCGTCCCTCTCGGTGGGCCTCCTTGCCCTTCTGACCCCCCTGGTCCTGGCCCCTGCCTGGGCCAGTCAGGGGAAGCTCTGGCAGGCCCTGATGTATGACCCATACTCTTATCTCAGGGTCCCCCTCTCTGGGTCCTCCATAATGGAAGTGGGGAGCTGGGGTACCTCACACCATGACTGGTGCCTCAGGGTCTCACAGGGGACTTTAACTCCCACCCTGGGCAGCAGGTCATGGTGCTATGACTAGTGTTATCTTTGACCCACACTCTGCCTCCGAACAGTGGAGGACTTATTGGGGTCAGGACTCAGCTCTCGCTCTCTCTGGCTGATCCCCCTCTCCCTTCACAGGGCTCTACATTGCCCTCTCTGGGGCTTCTGATCACTGGCCTCTCTCGCTGTGGTTCCACAGTGCTGGCCCCCTCTCGACTGGGGCTCCTCAGCATGGCCCCCTCTCAACTGGGGCTCAGATGTTATATTTGACCCAAACTCTGCCTCCCAGCATTGGAAGACTTACTGGAGTCAGGACTCAGCTCTCTTGCCCTCTGGCTGAGCCCCCCTCACACTGGGGGCTCCACAGTGCTGGCCCCCCTCATACTGGGGGCTCCAGACCGCTCATAATGCCCCCTTTACTCAGGGTCTCAGGGCTTCCCTCCACAGGTGGGCTCAGGTGGCCGTAGCCATGCCTGGCCCCAACTCTCCTTCCCGGGGTCTCAAACCCCCGCAGGGCTCAGGCAGCCTTGGCCACACCTGGCCTCCAACTCTCCTCCTCAGAGCTTTCACCCCCACAACTACCTCCAGTGTACTGTGACCCACCCAAAGGTGAGGGCTAGGGGTTAAGGTGCCCCAACCCACCTTTCACTAGGTGGATCACTGGCCTGGCATTTCCTGGGGGCTCCCACGCCACTGGGAGCCCCACCAGGCCACCCACTCCTGGCAGGGTGTAGTTTCCGGTCATACCCAGGACCAGGAGCCTCCTACCATCCCCTACAGTTCCTTCCTTACCTCCAGATGAAACTCAGCAGCCTTCCAACCAGGCAATGTTGTTGCCTCTCCTCCAGCGGCCGAACTGCCTCATTTACGTAGGCAGCCCTGAGCCTAAAATGGCTGCCCCCATTAGGCACCTGGAGGCTGCCAGCT